AAACACCGCAGCACAGCAAAGGGAGGCAGCGGCCACTGCTGCGGCTGCAACACGCCCTCTGTCCACCTCCTTATGCAGTCGGCACATCCGAGCAACGGAGGGGCCACACAAGAGCTTCTCCTTCCATGCTGAGCGTGGGTTTAGAATTCCAGGAATCACTCTCAAACCCCTTCTCTTGAAGATGTTTCAAGTCTCAGTCCAGCACGGATATGATGTGGAGTTTCCTAAAATAACTCCGAGTAACCTAACCATAACCCCCAAGCCTGAAAACCAGCAACCTGAAAGCGTGGGCCTCAGTCGCTTCCGGCACGTGGTATGGACACTACTGGCTGTAAACGCTTCCAACTCCCTGCAGGAGAGACCACCCTGGGTGCCCGCGGTGTGGCCCTCTGCGTGGGTGTGTCTGAGAACTGCCGAAGTGTGCTCAGATGCGAGCCGAAATGCTGCTGCCCGGGCGCTCTCCTTAACTCACAGTGTTTCCACAAGGAGGGAACAGAACTCACTTGCCTTCACACCAAGAAAGCCAACAGAACAGGGTCCTTTGGGGAGACCGGCCTGTTCTGTCAGCCAGCTCTGTGGGTCGTGGGTAACCTGCCTCCTTACTAACCTCTGAGCTTCACCTGTCACTGGCAAAACTAGGAAGAATGATTCTCTTTTCTTTAAAAGCAACCGTGAGGGCTGGGGAGAGTTTAGGTAATGCCTCGTCCAGCACAGGGCTCACCGCGGTTAGCGGGTAAATGACAGTTACTGTCGGCACCACACCACCACCTTGCCCTCATCGAGAGCAGCCTCACCTCTGTCACCACCAGTCCATGGCCACCAGCACCACCACCAGCAGCACCACCACCAGCAGGACCACCAACTGCGTCAGCTCTCCAGTCAACAGCAGGACCACCAGCAGCAGCACCACCAGCACCACTACCGGCAGCACCACCACCATCACCACCAGCAGCAGGACCACCACCTGCATCAGCTCTCCAGTCAACAGCAGCAGCACCAGCAGCAGCAGCAGCACCACTACCGGCAGCACCACCACCATCACCA